ACTGGAAACTATATAAATACCTGCATATCTAATATATAACATAATAAATATTTATATATTTTCTGTAATTTCATCAACTTTCAAAATCCAATTCTGCATATGCGTAGGTATTAATTACTCCCATAATCCCATCCTGCAACACTTGATGCTATAACTGCGAAATTAACTTCAAATTACATCTAATTTCATAGTTTTCGCATAACGACTGTTATGTTAGGTACACGATACATATAATAAACTTAGCCACGTTACGAGATGTGATTAGCACGTCGGGTATCCCGACCTATGCGAAATCGATACAGCCTCATAGCGCACCTATAATAATTATAATGGGGCATTAAATTTATGAAGCGATTTCAAGCTAATTGTCAATTGATTATACATAATATACAAACATTAGATCAATTAATCAGGATTGACGGATATATGAGAACATTAATTCAACGCAAATATGTTGCACTAAATAATCGGGGAAATGAGTGTATGTATTTATATTTGGATTGAATGCATAAATTTACAAATGTGGAATATATTTACAATCGTTCATAATTGAGTGGATTAGTTATTCTGGTTTATTTGTGGAGTGGATAATAATTAACACTATTTATTTAAAGCGTTGGTCTATTGAGTAGATTTTGTTTATATAAATGTTCAATTGTAAATAGAGAATTTGTCAACAGTTTATGAAATTATTTTGATTAGATTTATAATATATTTAGACACACGAGTAGCTGATTCTTGATAATTTGCGAAAACAATTATGATCTTTAACTGTGTTCAACACAGGACATATTAATTTATGTTAATGGCTATGAAAACACAATTAGTTCGGCAAACAAATTGGAAGCAAGTATTATAAAATGCAAATATGAACCAACTGAGTTATCATAAAGAAGTCATTCGTATCCTTAAGCATGAATTATTATTTTATTTGTTTTTATAAATTGCAATCTGTAGATATGAAGAGGAAACAATATTCAGTAATTTCGGTGTAGAATTATATTAGGGAATGAGGTCAAAAAGTCACCCAGTGGTAATCCGTTTCGTTTCTCATTGTATGAAGATTATAGAAGTTATTATTATTATTATTATTATTATTATTATATATATATATATATATAAGAGAATTAATAGTAGTACTGATGTCCATAACCATAAATTGGTATTCTATATTAATCAAGCATCAGCAAGAAAGAGTCCTGAAAGACCTCAATTATTGTGAAAATTATTCTAAACTATAAAGTTATTTTAAATTCTATTGAATCTCAAGTAGTGATTAACTTCATTTATTCACAAATATGTCTACTATATTTAACGACTTCTAATGACTTCATAGTATATCACGCAATTGATTCTCTAAATTTATCAGCAATAAAATTATTATTTTTACTGTGATCCTAAAATGTTATTCACTGACTTGGTTCCATAATTTAAATAAACAAAGTTAATAAAAATTAAGCGTAGTTACCGAAACATGCTCAAAATATCACTAAAGGCCAAGGCCACGTCGTGTTCTGTAGTCTTTCTAGATGTTAGCCAGGCCTTTGATATAGGTATGGCACAAAGTCCTTTTAACAAGGATTACTTTACTTTAATAAATTTTTACTTTAATAAGACAACATAAAGTGCATTTTTTTTGACCAGGCAATACCAAGTACTAATTATGTTTTATCTAGGTATGACCACATAACAGCAAAAACCAAATCTAGAATTAGAAACTCTATTGGATTAACGGACATAATTAGAAAAAGAAAATTAGATTTCTACTTCCAAATTGTTTTTATAATATTCTAGACTAACCTTGCTAATAGAAAATTCAAAGTCTGTGTCAACACTGAAGCTTCATCATCACCATTATATTAGATTGAGGCAGGAGTTCCACAGGGCAATGTTTAGGCGCCATTTCTAGATATTCTAATTTTTCCAATCAACCACAACAGAAACATTTGGTGATAACATGGCTTGAACTATTTTAGAAAAGTATCTAAACGTCATCGAGAACTGGACTAAAAAATGGTGGATCAAAATCAACAAGAGTAAGTCTACTATACATATAACTTCTACGCTCAATGAGACAATATGCCAAGGAATGCGATTTTTACCAGGAAATACCAAGTACTGATTATGTTAAACATCTAGGTATTCATTTAGATGGCAGACCAACATGGAAACACCACATCACATCAAAAATCAAAATTATCAAATCCAGAGTTAGACTAACTTTATTGGCTTATTGGACATAATTTAAAATTAGCCCTCGAAAACAAAATCTTGGTTTAAAAAGCAAAAATAATGCTTTCCTGGTCATACTAAATATAGTTTTGGGGCTGATCTAGCAAAGCTAATGTGATAAATACGATTAGAATGATGACAGGTGCACTTTGGTACATGAGCAATATATATTAAAAACTTCATAAAAACATGATTCACTAATCAATACAATATTAGTGAATCACCCCAATTCATCCGCTGCTTCTTATATCAGAATAAAGAAGACTTAAAAAATGATGGCCTATTAACTCGTTCCAATAAATTGTATCTAATAGTAATTACCCACTGGGGTAACTACTATCTATAATTATATTTAACTAATGTAAATCAATAACTCATAGTATGTAATTAATATTCTGATTGTTATTAGTGATAGGAATAAAAATATATATTTCAATTTGCCTAGTTGAAATATTTAGTGTAACAATGAAACTTCGTCTTCTTTCATGCGAAGTTTTCCTTCTCTACAGTCGCAGTAACCTTTACAAAAACGATGGCTTGATATAAGGCGTTTCTTTTGTAGAATTGTTATCCAGATTTAATATATTTCGCCCGAGTTCAGTAGTACTTAAAGTGAGAACTAAATTTGTTTACAGATTAGTGTCGAAACGCTTTCGGTCAATATTTAACGATTCAATGAGACAGCGTCTAGCCGTCAGACGAAAATAGACCACTCGTGTGATTTTATACCATTAGGGATAGATTACGAACATGATTTTAACATATTCATATCGAATATTTGATACGGTTTACCATTTCTTATAGCTACCACGAAGTAATTTATTATTTACTCAGAGCTATTTGTGAGCAGAATTAATGGAAGCCAATCTATGGAGAATGACATATGGCCATTGAAAATTATATGGGTCGAGTATAGTTTCACGAACTGCTTATTAAGGAGTCATTTTAACTTAATACTTCATTTTACTTATTGGCTATTTAAATATAATGTTTTGAATACGAATTATGATAAATCTGAACAGATTATTTTAATATTTACATAACCTTCACTAAATCTTACTAATTTTTCACTTATTAAAACATATGTTCCTATATACTGCATATCCGTCAGACATTCTGGTGTAAGAGATAACAGTAAATAAATTCAAAAATAGTAGTAAATAATCTCAATTTGTTAATTTGATAATGTTTTTAATAATAGTTATTGGAGAGCTTTTCCAAAAATAATTTCGTTGTTCAAGTTTACGGTTGTGCTTACAACGACTCAATTATTGTTTTGAGATGATTTGATTACGCCAATTGGGCAAATTTTATTAAAATGCTATAATTTGTGATTCAGCGATTATTTTATTAGACATCGATATTTTTTGAATTTTTTTTTGTTTATATATATAAAATCATGACACACTTACTCTAAATTAGAGCGTACATGCATACTAACATACAAGTATACATATATAAAAAAATAATAATCAAAATAATACTTTCCTATCGGAAAATAAAATTAATTCATCTCCAAAATGTTTTCTCGCTTTAATGTTGAATTTTGTTAAGTCAGTGAAGAATTGTTTTCCACCTGGTACTCATATGTTCACTTTTATAGTAGTTTTTATTTCATTCTCATTAAAAAATGTAATTTTATTAAAAAGATTGAATATTATTTTGCAATAAACGACAAATGTTAAATTAATGATGCCAAATTAACTTAAGCATTATTTTTTCTCGGGTCAATAAGATTTTGATAAAAATTGCTATAGCTTTATTGTGTGAAATTAGATTAATAAAATTTAAAAAATGTAGAAATTTTATATAATCATAAATTTTATATATTTAAAATATTATTTTAGTCGTTCTACAGAGAAATATGAAATCATTCCCTGCCTTCATCGTTCCCAAAATGATTTATACAAATTATGATATCTTACAAATTATGATAAGATTAATATATATTTACACTTACATTTTCTTTTTTATATTAAGTTTAAGTTTAGTTTCATTTAAAAAAGTAACTCAAGCAGGTGTACACAAATCGATTACATTTGATGATTTTTGTGATTAGATTAAACATTATATATGTACAATTAGAAGAAATAACAAAATAGTCACCAAAAATAATAGATACATAAAGAAATAATTTAACAATTCATAAAGTTAATTTAAGTGCGAAAAAACATATGTTGAAAATATAGATTTACAATTAAAAAATGTACAAAATAATCACCAAAAATAATGGGGATAACATGCAAAAATAAAATAATAAATGTAAAATAAAAATGAGATATAATGAGATATAATGAGATATAAAACACTTACTACGCAAATGATTTGATATGAAATTAATAAAATTAAAGCACATGGATTTAAATAAAATATGAAAAATATACTTAAATTTATCAAAAAATTTCTTCATATATTTCGATTAGTAAATTAATATTTTGTTCATCGTACACGCTTTCTAAATAATTTATCTTTATTTTTATTATTATCTATTATGAAAGCGCAATGCCACTTACACCTAGTTTATTAAATTCAAATTATATCGTTGCGCAAAATATCGATATTTTATCTGTCCGTTTGAATATCTTGCATTGAATTTGAAAACGGCGCCTTTTGTGTGATGACGTCACGCATTGGATTTATGACCAAATATGGCAATACTTTGATAAGGAAAAAAATGTTCAAAAATTATGCGTAATCAGTTGTCGATCGACACTCGAAGTGATCGGATCTGTCGGTCGTCGATCGTCGATCGTCGGTTTTGTTAATCTAATCGTGCCGAGTGCATTTTTGTCACCGCGTGTGTTTGTGTTTGTGCCTCTGTGTGATTTTATTGAAGATATTAGTGGATAAAGCAGTAAGTTCTTTATTTAATTAACTTCCCGAAGGAGAAGTTTATGTTTTCATCAAAAAATCCGAATCGCTAATTTTATGTTTTCTCGACGTTTCGAGCCATTCTGAATCGAATGAGACCAAATTTGGAAAAAGTATGTGTGTGTGTGTGTGTGTGTGTGTGTGTGTGTGTGTATGTGTGTGTGTGTGTGTGTGAACAGATTTTTTGCCGTAAATCGACGTTTTCTCCAAAACGGTTGGACCGATTTCAAAAATTTAAAAGCCATTTGATGTATCTCGATGAGGACAATCGTCTCTGAGTTTTGTGCGGCGATCGGCCAAGCCGTTTCTTTGTAAATTGCAGAAAAGTGAAAAATTTTTCGTCCACGTTTTAGCCCGCAATTCTGAATCGATTCTGAAAATTCAAAAACCGTTCGATAGATATTGGTTGGGAATCGTGCTGATTAGTTTTTGGTTAAGATCGGCCGGGCCGTTTTCTTGTAATAAAGTTTTTAAAAAAAAATTTTGACGATTTTTATGATTATTTTTTTGACGAAAGAAACCATAGTTTTCTAGGTCATACTAAAATATTACGGCCCTACGACAACTGGTTCAGCTTTAAAAATTAGTCAAAGTTTGCAAAAATCAGTATGGTCTTTTTGGCATTTGTCAAAATTAGACTTTTGATCGACGTTTTCTCAAAAACGCCTGAACCGATTTTAGAAATTTAAAAGCCATTTGATGTATTTCGGTGAGGACTATCGTTTGTCAGTTTTGTGCAACGATCTGCCAAGCCATTTCTTTGTAATTCGAAAAAACTTTTTGTCCACATTTAAGCTCATCCTACCGAACCGATTTTGAAAAATCAAAAACTGTTCGAAAGATATCATTTGGGAATGATACTGATTAATTTTAGGTGAAAATCTACCGAGCCGTTTTCTTGTAATTAACTGTTGAAAAAAAGTGTTAAATTTTCGTCCACATTTAAGCTCATCCTACCGAACCGATTTTGAAAAATCAAAAACTGTTCGAAAGATATCATTTGGGAATGATACTGATTAATTTTAGGTGAAAATCTACCGAGCCGTTTTCTTGTAATTAACTGTTGAAAAAAAGTGTTAAATTTTCGTCCACATTTAAGCTCATCCTACCGAACCGATTTTAAAAAATCAAAAACTGTTCGAAAGATATTAGTTGGGAATGATGCTGATTAATTTTAGGTGAAAATCTACCGAGCCGTTTTCTTGTAATTAACTGTTGAAAAAAAGTGTTAAACTTTCGTCCACATTTAAGCTCATCCTACCGAACCGATTTTAAAAAATCAAAAACTGTTCGAAAGATATTAGTTGGGAATGATGCTGATTAATTTTATGTGAAAATCTACCGAGCCGTTTTCTTGTAATTAACTGTTGAAAAAAAGTGTTAAATTTTCGTCCACATTTAAGCTCATCCTACCGAACCGATTTTGAAAAATCAAAAACTGTTCGAAAGATATCATTTGGGAATGATACTGATTAATTTTAGGTGAAAATCTACCGAGCCGTTTTCTTGTAATTAACTGTTGAAAAAAAAAATTTAATCCTTCTTTCATGGAACTTTTTTTGGCGATATACATCATGGTGTTATAGAACTTACTGTAATATTACGGCCTTACAACAAGTAGTTTAATTTTAAAAATTCGTCAAACTTTGCTAAAATTATTATCGTTTTTTTTAAAGTAGGATTGATGAAGTATATTATTTACACATTTTTTTGATCAAGTCGATTATTTACACATATCGGGAAGTTCATGTAATTTGCCTCAAGGCTAAATACCAAACCAACTAGTTTATTAATTATGTTGTTATGTAGTCAATCCCAGTGTAATACGTAAATCGCGCTATAAAAACACGGCATTTTCTATTGCATTGTATAGGAACCGTGCCAAAATATACTCATTGTCAGAGTTGGTACAGTACAAATCACGTCATTTGTATCGCGTTATATAAAAACCAATAAATACAAAAGCCATGGTAAAAAATAAATTATTATTTACCATTTAAGTTATCGGCCCCAAACACAAATATGGCGCCTCGGAGGTGTTGCAAGGTTTTAGGCCCAAACACGAATAGAATGACGAGAGATATCATACAGTCGGGCTCGCCCGTAGGTAAGCGGTTAAGAGCGACGGGACTTGTTTCAGAGGTCCCGGGTTTTACCCACTTTGAGCAGCCTGTTGTCAGGCAGCAGTGACAATGATTTTCACTTGGAAATATAGATAGCAATATGTTTCCAAGTGAAAATAGCCCTCACCCGGCATTGCTGCACCAATAAAAAGTCCGGCCAACAGCTCATAGGACGTAAGGTTCTGATTGATTTAAAAAAAAATATTTAAAAAAAAATATATATATACTGTCAATGATTATTAACTTCCCGTAAGTTGTTGTAATGGGCCGAAAATCGGAATTGAAAATTTTTACATTTCTCGACGATTTGAAGGTTTCTGAACATTTTGGCATACCTCAGAAAAAATGAATGTGTGTGTGTGTATGTATGTATGGATACAAATTTCCAGTCACGTTTTCGGGCGCACGGATCAACCGATTTGAATGGTTCAAAAAACATTCGTTTCTGATTAGTTTTTGGCAAAGGCAGGTCCAGCCGTTTCGAGGATACAGAGCAAAGAGTGCAAAAAATAGAAATCGACTTTTTGAGAGAACGGAGTATCCGATTTGAATGATTTAAAAAACATTCAATTACTAATGATTGGGAGAACTGTTTATTAGTTTTTGGCCCAGCCATTTCGAAGATACGGAGCTAAATATGTAAAAAACGGCAGTTTTTAAGAGAACTAAGCGTCCGATTTGAATGATTCAAAGAACTTTAACAGATTTATATGTGTCTCATACATAGTTCATTTTGAGAATGAACGTTACGCTTTCACTGAGAACTAATTAATCCGATTTGCAATTTATATCTTTCATAACAAATTATAACAGTATTTATATAACTATAGTCCTATAGTTATAGTGCTTGTATATCATAAAAGTGCGGTTTATTACTCGAATTTCTATAATTCAATCACTTTTCACAGGCGTCTAATTTTTTAGCATGTTTGTTTACTTCTTGAATTCTACTCCATGTAAAGCAGCAAAACATTTGATTACGAAGAAACGAGCCTCCCGATCTTTGCCAAAAATTAAACAGCACGATTCCCAACTGATATCTGTTGAATAGTTCTTAAATTTTCAAAATGGATTCAGGATTTTTAGCTAAAATGTAGACGAAAAATTTTACACTATTATTCTTCATTAATTTTAGTCCTGTTTTTAACCTAACGGCCCGTTAAAATTTTAAACTTTTATGGCTGATCGCATTTATTAATATTTTGAAAAACTTGATACATACTAATAAAAATAACAAAATAAAACAAACAAGATGGGAGATGGTTCCGATAAAAATAAAATTGTATTTTAGAAATACTCAGTGGGCCGCAGAGTATTACTATTCGCTCATCTTTGCTTTAACACTTATCGATTTTTTTTTCAACTTAGTTACAGTTCAATAAAATGACTTGAAACTTCGAGAAAACGTTGAGGTAGCATATTGAATTTTTTCGTGAAAACGAAATTTTCCTTCAGTAAGTTAAAAATATCCAAGTTTGTCGATTCAGTAAATTTCCGATGGCCTCTTCTCAACATGATTTTCGTATATATATATATATATATATATATATATATATATATGTATATTTGTGTAAGATTGAATCTCTAAATAACCATATTTATATTGACTTACTTCTCGTATAACAATGATATTATCGTAATCTTCAAAATGTAATCATTCTCCAGAATAATCGACATACATATATTGATCGAAATTTTTTATACTATACGCATATATACACACACCCACATATATACATATGTATATATATATATATATATATATATATATATATATATATATATATATATATAATATTGCTTATCGTCTCTCCATAACGTACGACGTATTATTCAAATCCCGATACAGAAAAAATAAAGCGGATTTTCTTTGTGCCAAATCTCAGGTCCTTCACCTTGAAGGGCTCGTTAAACAAGCCCCTACGAGTGCCGGATTAGCTTTTATTATTGTCCCTATAAATGTTCCGTTGCAGAATTTATGATACAAAATATATATTACTTTTGCCACCCGCCGCCGTTTGTGCATTGAAGAGCTTCTGAACTTAAGATCCTCGTTGATTAATTTAGAAGGATTCCCTGTTATTTATTAAAAACCTGGAAACGAGAATTGCAATTTTAGATTGAAGAGATTTTGAGATACAGCAGAATTTGTTTGAAAAATACGTTTATTTATATCATAATTTGGAATTGTTTAACACGACAATTGTACTCGTGCGATTTATTAGTTTTGTGCTCTGACATATTGAGAATATAAGGTCAATGTTATAAGAGTTTTGATGATTTATACTTTCATAATGCTTACTTTTATAAATATTTTGTGAAACTATTTCAATTCAAGTTTATTTCTTTCAATCACTTTGATTTTGCTTGTCATATTAATTTATTAACTCTGATTGTTACATAATATGGAATGAATAAAAAAAATTATGCTATTAAATGCATAAATATATACGTATGTCACATACGGTATGTGTATAATTTATATGTATATATATATATATATATATATAATTAAAATTTTCATTCTTTTTTTTAAATAATATTGTTTAACTTTTATGTTCTGGTTTGATGGTTTTGTATGTGTATCTTTACAAATGTTAATTGTAAAATTAATCTTTGTTTTACATTTACTATAATATATTAAAGTGAACTGAGTTATTTGGAGTAGAAAATATTTATAACTGTTTGCGATCATTTTGCGATTATAAGGTTTATAATTAAGAGGTTTGTTTTCAACTCTTTGAATGGTGATACATTCGAATTTTCATTAAATTCCCAGACAAGTAAATATGCTTCTCTTGTGAGTTAATATTCTATTATAAGAATATAAAAATATATTTAAAGTGTAGCTCTTCTGAATCTCACATGCGAGCTATAGTTTTTTTTGGCAACTTTTTTCGTAATGACCCATAGAACAAGAATTGCAACCTTACACTATGGTTAAAAAATATATTTGTAATATAACATTTTTCATTTATTTATTTATTTATATGTATATTTATATATACATATTTATAACTTTTTTGTACAACATTAAAACAATTTTTTGAATTTTTCGAAATAAACGATAAATATTTAATGAATTTATTTCGTACGTTCTATAATTACTTTAATTCACACTTTTTATACAAAATATTACCAAATATTATAAAATAATAATTTTACTTAAACACATACATACCGTATCATAAAGACTACATGTAAATAAAACATTGTTTTGTAATATTTTTTTAACTTATTTATTTAAGGCTTTTGGCCGTTAGGTCATTTAGCCCCTGGTACAATTTTTAAAAATACATTTTACAAAATTTATTCAATGTGAATCAGATATTAATACGTACTTATATAATACATACCTAATGATTATTACAATTTTGTAATAAAACAAGAACTGCATGCATAATTTTAATTATATAATTCTATATATGCCATTATATACCCGAATTTGTATTATGTATGATTACATAACTTCAATTATATTACCAATAATCATATACTCCCAATTATGTAACTTGATCTCTAGGTCTAGAGCTATTTTTTTGTCCTATAAATCTTTTAACATAATATGAATATATAAATTATAGTATAAAAATATACATATATATATATATATATATATATATATATATATTTAAAAAAAACATAAGACATAGTAACAACACAAAACAAAAAACATTATAGTTCATATTTATTTAATAATTCATGCCTATAATGCAACCCCTGAATACTCCTCTTACTAATATTTACTTACTCTGAATAATATTTTATAAACTTAATATCGAAATTTTATTACATAATACAAATTTAGGTTTATGTAATAAACAATGTTTACTTATGTTTTTCATACATAAATATAAATTCGTATTATATTGATTTGCCCTGTTTATTTTCCTTCCTATAAAATAAAAAACGAATAAAAATATCGTTTGTAAGCATCAATTTTACGAAGCCAATTTCATACAAAAGTACATCATTAAAATCCCGTGTAATTTAATTTATGATTTAATAAGTCTATCAAGGATAGATATGAAAGAACAATATGGGCGTAATAGCCCATGAATCGCGTAAAAGAATATCGACTTGCCGAAGCGCGACAATATTTTCGTCCTGGAAACATCGGAAACTTGGTATGAGGGACAGACTGTGATTTTCAAGCCGAAGCAAGCATTGACAGCTATTAAAAGTTTTATGCCGAAAATAATTAATAGCAGTACTTTTTCCTTACTTAATACAGAAAACTTTTGGGTTGCGCACTTGTAAATATTTGATGAACTTTTTTCCTCAGAACGCCAGCCCAGATGATTGCAAATAATGAACTCTTGTGTGTGTGCGTGATAATGAGGACAGAGAAAAATTAAGAAAATATATAATCTGTTTAATAATATATCTGAATTTAGATGAAGTATGAATGTTATATTATGCATACAGATATTATTGAAATGCAAAATAATATATATATATATATATATATATATATATATATATTATTGCTAAGATAATTGTGATTGATGAGTATACCCATAATGATGAAGTAACAAAATTTTGTGTGTTGAGGAATATACTCGTCATGCGTATAAATTCTTGACTATCGAGTATTTAGATTGCAATTTTTGAAAAGATTTCAAGATAGTTGATAGTTGTGAATTCCATTTACTTGCAACAATAGTTGTAAGAAAAAAATAGTTGTGGACATGATTTTTTACCGTAAAACAACATTTTACCTCGATTCTGAAGACAGAATCTGAAAAAACTGAAGCATTTGATATAGATTTGGGTTAATAAAAGGGCATCTCAAAATGAAATACTATTTCATATAACACTTTCGGTTAAACAACTGAATTTTCACAACTGAACTAATAAACTCAAGTAAACTGTGTATACTCAAGAGTACCTATCCTTTCAAGAATTGTTTTGAAAGCAATTATTTTTGAGTTGACTTCATAACATAATACTAAATAATAGTGCACAATATATGTACACTACATAAATCAACTAAATTTAATACCTAAACAATGTTTCGTTAATTTGCCTCAAATTCTATTTACAATCAACGCATTGTGTTACATTGCAATTTAGTCATAAATATGTGAATTTAATACTAAAAATAACATGTTTTAATAAATGTATGTAGAACCATATAATGAATATTAATATAATATATATTAAGTCGTTATATAAATAATCTGCGGTTAAATAGACTAATTTTATATAATGGAGACTGCAATAGAATCATTTTTTGTAAGATACAAATTACCTGTAATTGATTCGTTTTATATTTTTGCTAAAGCTACAATAAAGTCTTAAATTTAAATATTGTAATAATATTATTACAATATTTTTAAATATAAAAGTCTATATAAATTTATTAATTATTTGGTAATTCATATATAACAATTAAATATTTTACAATTAGAACTAAGGATTAATAAGTGGTGCTTAACATAATAAACATCAACTTCAATCTGAGATTGTAAACTAAAACTAATATATGTGTATATTTCTTTATAAATTAATTTAGTAAACAATAGATAAGTATATTTTTCAACTTTGTTGTTTCAGGTTATAGTGTAGTGTGGCAGTTTTTTGCTGGACATCGGCCATGGAGGGCAGTTGGCTGGTACTGTGTATCAGCTGCGCGTTGGCCGTATTTATGATCCTGGACGGCGTTCTCGGGAACGAACCAGTTTCTCCAGGTTAGTGATAATAATACAATTTCAATATATTTATGTATATATATATATATATATATATATATATATAAAAATGCTGTAATACCCCGCTTACCGTGAATGCTACATCCCATCAAAGTAGAGCGTAAAGCAAAACAGAGCTAAATCTTAACATGTAAATATAAGGGTTAAGGGAAGATAAATATGAAGTTGGCAATGTTTAATATATATTAACTTAACGTATAATTTTAATAAAATTAGAACCAAATATTTTATTCAAAATTAATCTTCTAATTATTTAATTGAAATTCAATATCCAATTCTAATTCAGTCAGATATATTATGCTTTTTTTCGCGTTTGATTTCATTGTATATGTTATGCAATTTGTTTGATAAAAATCTGTGGTCATTGAAGGATATACATTTATAATATTAATTTATTTTTGATCAGTTTATAAAGAATGGTGACGTTCAAAACAATTTCCAAAAGGCATATCTGGTTGATTTTGACATGTTTAACAATAAAATGTTGTTCGCCGCCTTCATCCTAGTGCTTTTCTGTCAGAACAGACAATACAAGCCCTTTTTCTTTCTCTCGCATTTAGCATATGCCACTGATTAGTCAGTATAATTGTTCATTTTTGTCCTACCATAATGGTTTGTTTTTTCTATTATATTGACTAATAATTCATTTGTAAAATAAAAAGTAAAATAATCTATTGGATGTCTTATATTGGTATTTGTAGTGGGGGGTGTTTGTTGATGTATGTCAAACTCGATTATTGAAGGAGAATCGGCACATTCGCTAATGTCTTTCCGCTCCTCATTTAATTTGTCGAACTTCTTCTTTTTGTTGGTGGGATAATATCAGAATCACATTCATCACTATCTTCGGTGCGAATAGTAATTTCGTAAAAATTGTCTATATGAATGTTTATTTGAAACACTTCTTCACTACTGCTTGATTCACAAAATTTACTAGTCGTTTTGCCATATTTAAAAGCGCTCGGCCGTTTTAAATATTGAAAAAAGACTATATAGCAAAGAAAAGGGCTAGAAATACTACTAAAATAACTTAAAATTGTTTTCAAAATACAACACTGTTTATCACTGTTATATGTGATTTATTCAACTTTTCTATGCAAACTGAGTCATTGTTTATAAAATAGCCTGTGCCTAATAGAGTATGTTTGTCCACTCAGGTGGACAGCCGTCCCCAAAGAGTTAAATATATTCATTTGTCACATGGTATTACGCCTTCTTAGAATTTGATATATCAGCAGAATCAAAATTACCCATTCTCAACATATATATATATATATATATATATATATATATATATATATATGTGTGTGTGTGTGTACTCATTTTTATATACATACGAATTTTGTAAAAACACAGCTTTGTCTTTAATACTTGAGATACAACTCCTATATAATCTTCTACTGATTTCTATCAGAAGGTTATTGAAGAATTTGTCTTCAATCCTGAATTGTTTGCGAGATCACAATATCGGTTTCGATATTGTTTTCTCGTACATTGTCGAATATAATACCACATTGTAAATTTCCAAGGAGTTTGCTATATCCTATATAATATAACAATGGAACGAATAGTCGTCCCTATGTACACTATGCGAATAGAACATGTACCTATTTGTAGAGTGCAATGTTGTTCGAGGCGGAACATGACTCTATATTTATCTTATTAGTTGCCGTTATGAAGATAATGTTTTAACAAAGTAATACCCGTGTTTGAACATTAGCAATATCGATTCCTATGCAACTGAACCAGTTGTTATAATATAACTAAACAGAGCCCCCGAGTATACTGTATATTAAAAACTTTACGTGCGGTGTAATCAAGTGGTTTCGAATTACCGCGTTTATATTTTTACCATAAATGCGGATATTATAAAAATAACGTGGAAAATGTGCGATATAATTGTACGGAAAATGGTTATCAGAATTACTTCCAATAAAATTGTACGATGTATAATATTGGAATTAATAATCATATAGACGTTTACGATTTTATTACGTTTTTGCGTTTCCTCATAATATTTTTAATAACTTCGCATGGATAATATTTAATTTTTTATTGCAAATTTTTATTTTATTTTAAATATTGATCATGTAAAATAGATTTATGGCTATGAATCGTATTCAGAATTCTTTATTATATTGCTTGTTTGTAATAGAATTAAACAATAGAATGTATATAGCTAAATAGTTTATTATATATACAAACATTGTTTAAGATTTTTATTTGAATTCTTGAGTACTATTGATTGATATCTATATTCCCTGTATATTTTTAACTCCTCGAACAAAAACCAGGTTTATTATTATTATCTTTTCGCAATATTTCAAGTCATTCTGAATCTTTTAACATTTGATCAACAATTGATCTTCCGTCAACGTTTTTTCACAACCTCTTAACCTATTTTATACATCTAAAAGCCACTTAATGAAACTAGATAAAAATTTTCCGATAGCTGGATGATAAATTCAATTTTCTTTCATCGCATTTTTTGCCAAAAATTCTGTACTAACACCAAAATTCAAAAATGTTAACAAGATATTTGATATAGAAGTAATAGGTAATCAAATCGAATATTTATATATCAATTTTCATGGCATTTATATATAGAATAATAACGACATTATTCTAGATTAATAATATATATATCATTTCTCTTCTTCTGATTATTTGAAAGGCTAAATTCATGGGAATGGTCTGGTGCCATATTTTTGAGATCTTCTCACTTAAGCACCTTCTATTATTGAAACTATGTATAAACTTCAGTTATTTTTTATATTCTCAAGATATTATTTAATAACTTGTAGAAAAAATATTATAAAAATTAATAAATATATAAACAAGACTATAGATTTTATAAAGAGTCTTAACTTACCGTAGGAAAAATTGTTTATCTTAATGTTTCAAAAGATTCTGAACAATTTGGCTTACCTTATAAACAATGGATGTATGTGTGTGTGTCTATTCGGATACAAATTTTTGTCATTGATTTCATGAACACGGATCAACTAATTTAAATAACTCATAAAACATTCGATTTCGATCGACCGGAAGACGTGCTAATTAATTTTTGGCAAAGGCAGGTCCAGTCTTTTCCAAAATACGGGGCGAAAAGTGCCAAAAATAGTAATTTCGTTTTTGAGATAACGGAGTGTCTGAATTGAATGATTCAAAAAACGTTTTATTTGCATTTACAACTGCTAAAATTTTTGGGAACGCAGGTTTAGCAGTTTCTGAGATCCAATGAAAAAATAAAAAAAGCCATTTGATGATCAAAAATGATTGTTAGACATATTCACACCAAATTAATAGATACTTCATAGCGATTTTAATAACGAGAAATTTTGTTTAGATTTCTATGGGTCCGTACCAAAACTACTTTTCTATCACTGTGGCCGGAAATTCTCGTCATTTTGCAGATTTATTCTTATAATAAACACAATTTGTAAATTAACTGCAAATAACTACAAATCATGTTATACATACTTCTTTAAATTGCTGCATTTTTTTACCAAGTTGACCCCGTTTAAGCTCATTTCATTCCAGCTTCAAACTGCAATCGCTTACGGTCGCACTTTTACATACTCTGTTGTTTTCTCATCTTTGCGCTCCTCTCCTTGCGATATTTGTTTAGACAATGTTCGCTCAATAAAAGTAAACTTTTATTCCTCTACAATGTGTATATAAAACGTAACAGGAAAAAAATAAAGAGTATCGCAATCTAAATTTACTACCGCCGTAAAAAACCTAACCTGCGCCTCGGCGATGTGCTTTACTCAACTACTTTAACAATGCAATGTCTGATATTGGCGCACTCTTGTAAACGATTTTTTAAAAGTGCGATAAAGCTTTTGTAAATAGATTATGTTATTTTGTACGCACTAAAGTTTTAATAAGGATTAATATCAAATTAAATTGTTAGTTTGAAATTTGGGTTATAAAATATGCAACTATGAAATGCGCTTTGCAAATTTTATATTGTTATTTTTGAAATATGATTGTGAGACTTTTTGTTTGATGAACTATTTTTATTCGATTTAATCTTTTTTAGCTTACATTTGCTGATGAAACTTAAATCTTCTAATTTATAAAGCCCATTTAAATCTTCAAATTATTTTAGATATTTATTATTTAAACTACTTTATGAAAAATGTATTAAATAGTTCAATCATGCAATAACAATAATTAATGATATTCCTTTGACCATAGAGTTTTGGTAAATAGTAGATACTTCCAGAAACAATCGGCCTACATCAGAATCAGAATCAACTAATATCTTTCATATTTCCAAATTTCATTTTTAAAATAAATATTGATATATTATTGATTAACTTGTATGAATATGCTTCGAAGCATACCTGTAAATTATAAAATAACTGCTAACTAATTATAGAGCAAACCAAAATTTGTTTTTCTAACACTGTAACTTGTGTGTGTTTTTATTCATCTTTTTCTCATATAAATATTTTTTATTTCCAAGTCAATTAAATTGATTGAAAAAATTTAATTATACTTTCCATTCTTAATAGAATTCATTTTTTTTGAAATATGAATTTTTCTTCTTTTAATTTTAGCTTTTTTATTGAATAAATACTAGATTTCATTAACCTATAGAGTTTCCAGTTCTCATAAAATATCATAAAATTTTATAGATCGTTAAGATATATTTTATATCTATATACATCAAATTCTAAAATATAAAAATTATTAATAATGATATTAATAGTTATAATTTGGATGAATCTGTTTTATATGTTCTATTGCGGTGTGATTTAACTATGTGGCTGCTTTAGAAGGCAATCCAATGGTTAATCTATGTAATTTATTTTCATAGAATTTCTCTAATAGTGATAATATATTTTCACCTTGATAACTTGATAAGTATTTTCATCTGTAACGTTAAGTAAAAATGGATATCACTATGGTTTCATATCAGGTCGTACCAAATTAGGAATAATTGGGTTAATAAGCTTCATCTTCAT